CGTAGGATGGTGGTGGCGTAAAATTGCACAAAATCACCGAAATCACCGACAGGAAAAGGGTGAGTACACAGACATATACGGATAGAGAAATGAAGGAGGCGTCGCCATGATGACGACGATCGACCATGCAAGCACACGCAACACACACGACTTCGCGGGAGCGAAATGAAAGGCTAAAGAGGGTCCAAGCTCCTGAAAAGAAGAAGCTGCTACTTGTTTCCATAGCTGGCAGACGCCATCAGCTGGCAAACGCCATCATCGCATTAAAAGGTGGAAACATAGATGCCCATCCTACACACGCCTCAGAGAGCGCGAAACCCCACAAAAAAAAAGGGCGAACAACGTATGCATATCATTTCTTTGACGCAAGAGTCCTACCATGCCGAGCTTATCGGACCGCATTCGCGAGAAAACTAGTTTGGACCGCCTTCGCGAGAAATTGAGTGTATGAGGAAATATAACAGAAAGGGGCTACGCAGACCCTATGTCCCCAACCCAACTTCCCCGTTCGCATGCTTCATCCAACATGTTCACCTAAAATAGAAAAAACCTGGGAAGGCTACCGAGCATATCATGCCTACCGAAGTTTTCTTTTTTTCACCGTAGCTTGGAACCTTCCAAATCAAGACGAAACACAATCACCGCAGAGTTCCTCCGCTCAGAAAGAACAACCTTGGATGGCTCAAATGGAGGGCAAAATTTAGGCCGAACCCACTTACAGAGTATCAGCAGTGGTTCCCCTGTAGAAGGCCGGACAACAGTGCTACTCAGAACTCAGAATGGTCAAAGTGGTCAACACACAAAGTGAGCCTATCGTTGCTTGCAAAGCCTATCGCTACACATGTTAGCAGCCTACCGCTGCTTGCAAAGTGCCCGGCTTCCAAGCTTGCACGGGCCGCTCTTGCGCATATGCATGCATGCCTACCTTGGAGCTGTCGTGTCCCAACGTCTCCACCAGCGGATCTAGCACCCCGGCCTCGATTAACGCCTGCCAAAGGGTGTCGAGCAGAAAAGTGGGACGTGCGTGTGTACGGTAGGGGGGAGGGAACCACGCAAACGCTGCTTTCGTGAAGAGAGAGAAGCTTTCTCGTTGGGGAGATTGTGCCCTTCATGAATAGGATCTCCACATCATTGTTACGGATTTCAAGCACCCCTGCATCAATCCGGGGCAGGCTCGACTGACTATCATTCGCACCCACATGCTAGAAAAAGCAAAAGGTGTGGGAACTCGCGCAGAGGGGTGGGTGGAAAAGTCCATGAACATATTGTAGCGTTGGTTTCCACGTCAAGGGCGGGTAGTCTATGCCCAGGGTGCAGCGCACCCTCCATGCGACTTACCGCACACCTCACGGCGCTTCGCGCTTGGCGATGTGCTAGCCTGGTCCGGTGCGTGTTCCTTCCTAGGGATGCCAGGTCAATGGCCCCAACCTAACGACTACGGCATTTTTCACGGCTACGAGTGCACCCCCCACGGGCCACATTCGCTAGGACTTAAAAGCTTATTGAGGAAATAGAACAGGGAGGGGGGTACGCAGAATCTATTTCCCTATCCCTAACCCTAACCCAACTTTCCCGATCGCATGTTTTGTTCAACATGCTTTATATATTAAAGAAAAACCCTACA